TATCGCTTTTCAAGCCTCCGCGTGCGAGTTTTACTTGAACCGAGGATTTGCAGCATTCGATCTTCAGAAGCAAGCATCCCGATATTGTCCCGACTCCCGACATTCAGCCAAACCATTCAAACAGGCGGGGAGCTCAGAATAGACAGAGCGACGCTTGTTGATCTTGATTGTCACTAACGCGTGTTGTATGTTCGGTCAGCTTTGTCAAACTCTTCAAACACATTCAGAGCCTGAATCTCCCACTGTCTTTATAAAGTATATGGCATTAAAATCGGTTTTCTCGACCACAAATACTTGAACCGTAACGACGAGATTTCCGAGTGAGGTTATGGTTTGTGTGAGGTGTATTAATATATGGTGATCCAATGAGGTTTGCGCGGCTAAGTGACTTCGGCATAATATTACAGCTTATAAAATCCAAATTTATACTACAACAAAGCCCTCAACGGGGCCTTTCCAAAAATATAGTTTAAATGTGCCGTTGTTGGAATATTATTCCAGAACCAGTGAATCTGCAATGATCATGATACGTGACGGGTATTACTTCGGTAACAAATCGGGGACGACAAGACCTCGCGATATGGCTTTCATAAAGCCTCCGTGCAAATACCCTATAAAGGAACGCGTCGAATGGGTTTCAAAATAAAACAACATTTCTCCAAACCCAAGCGATTCACCCACCGTCTAGAACCAGATTACCATGAAGTTCACCTTGACCGCTATACTCCTCTGCCTTGCCCCACTCGTCTACTCCGCCCCGGACCCAGGCGGCAAGTCTTATTGTACTGGCTACTGCACTCCGGAAGTCGAAAAATGCGGCGATGGATGGTTCCCATGGCATGAAACCTATGGAACATCATGCTGGAGATGCTGTAAAAACGCTTAGTGAGGAACATCCCCTTTTTGTTTCTATATCTTTAATAACATTTCAAAGGTTAACCCGCTGTAAAAACCCTGGTGAAGAACATCACATTTTTTTCTCTCCATCCGTCATTAATAACATTTTATTGAACAGTTCCATCCGACAATATAATATCATGGTATGAAATCACTTCTTTTGCTACGCAGCCTTGTATAAATTCTTACTGAACAGAGACCGAGACTCGACCCGACGAGATATTAGATATTGACTTGTTGGCTGGGATGCAGTAAATAAATATACCGATTCGATAGTGTTTTCAGAATGACCGCCTGAACGACACAAATGACAAAGCAAAAGGCTCCTCATTGTCCGAAGCCTAACCCAGTGCTAGGAGGTATACATAGACTAAATACGACGGATAATTATTTATGGGGGAAAGAAGATGGACATGATATCCCTCTCATACGTGGCTTCCACGAAAATTGGTTACTGCTCGGCACTCATCTTCCACCCCTCCTCCCCATACAAACCTTCCTCAAATTCGTTTGAAATTCGTCTAATGTTTTCTTATCTTATCTATACTCCTTCTTAACACAGCCTCAACGTCACATGACACACACACGCCATCAAGATTTCTCACAACCACAACTTGCACACCTTCCTTGCTGTTTCTGAGGCTCCTCCTGTCATTCTAAGTGCTAGTAATTCCGACTTGCAGCTCAATGGTCGTTCCTACCCAGCCCTTTAACGACTTAGAACTAGCAGTTTCGCCCATAAAACTCGAATCAGATGATTCGGACGCAATTTACCTCGTTGACGTCAAACCAAGCTGCTCGACTGCTTCATGGAGTTCAAAAGCATTCAGTGACAAGCTATCAGAGATTGTGAAAGGAATTGTTCCATTTCGTAAGCACTCGCCTTTCATTTCAATCGCGTCAAACTAATTTTAGATACCAAGTCGTCACCCTTCTGAAGATCGTCCTCATCGTCGCTAGCCACCTCGTAGCGCTCGTCCTGGCAGAAACATGGGCTTCCTTATGGTTTGCCGGGATTCGAGGCATCTTGGGCTTCGACAAAAGTGATACGCCCTCCACCCTTCCACCAACACCGCCTGAGAAGTCATCTGTTCAACTGTCATGGTTCGATTCTCTATTCGCCGCTGTCGCCGTTAGTGTTTGGACAGTCATGGCATCCATCGCCTTCATCATCGGGATTGTTGGATGTTTTGCGATCGTGGCTTCAATGGGTTACTTTATAGCCCCATATGTGAGATTGGTTGTTGATCCTATCGTGCGGAAGTTCTCTCAAGTGCTAAGGCCTTGGTACACGGAACAAATTGAGCCCCTGTTTGCCGCCTGGCGACCATCGTATACTCCTTTACATGACCAAGTATCCGTTGAAGGAGAACTTGAAATTCTTGGTGTAACAGAAGGAAATTCTTGGAGAAGCCAGTGGCTCCAAAAAGTATCCACGCTTTTCCAAGAGGCAACTTCCCCATTCAAGAGTCCTGGGCCGCGTCTTCAAGTGATCTGCGACCTTCGTAAGTTTTCTTTCCTTGAAATGACGCGCAGAACCGAAATTAATGGATACATCCCAGTCTTTTCTGCGTTCAGGATAACATTGCATACCATCGTTCATGCAGTGGCCCTATTCCCACCATTTGCATGGTCCACGATGTGGTTGTACGGTATGTTCAAGATTTGGCAGGGCGGGTTAGCAGGACCGGATGAAACAGGTTTTTTCATGTGGATTTTTTTGTGCGTCTTCTTATTGGTGTGGTCGGCGGGTGCGTTGGTTGCGATTGGGCTAGGATGTTATGGTTGCTACGTCGTTTTATCATCCTTTGTTGTGCCCGTGTTTCCTGGGTTGCCAGAGAGCAGGGTATTTTGTTGTAATTGGAAGTCCTGAACTAGCANACAAACATCAAAGGCGTTCACC